AAGAAAATGTGGTACATAGACACCACGGAATATTATTCAGCCACAAAAAACAGGTCAGCAGAGAGCAGTGGCTCATGCCTGTAATCCCAGCACTTTGGGAGGCTGAAGCAGGTGGATCACCTGAGGTCAGGAGTTCAAGACCAGCCTGACCAACATGGTGAAAACCCGTCTCTACTAAAAATACAAAATTAGCTGGGCATGGTGGTGTATGCCTGTAATCCCAGCTACTTGGAAGGCTGAGACAGGAGAATCACTTGAATCCGGGAAGTGGAGGTTGCAGTGAGCCGAGATCGCACCATTGCACTCCAGCCTGGGCAACAAGCGTGAAACTCCATCTCAAAAAAAAAAAATGAGATCATGTCCTTTGCATGAACATGGATGGAGCTGGAGGCCATTATCCTTAGCAAACTAACGCAGGAACGGAAAACCAAATGCCGCATGCTCTTACTTGTAAGTGGGAGCTAAACAATAAGAACACGTAGACACACAGAGAGGAACAACAGACACTGAGGCCTACCAGATGGTGAAGGGTGAGAGGAGGGAGAGGATCAGGAAGAATAACTAATGTACTAGGCTTAATACTTGGGTGACAAAATAATCTGTACAACAAACCCCCATGACACAAGTTCACCTATGTAACAAGCCTGCACTTGTACCCCTGAACTTAAAAGTTTTTTAAAAAAGAAATGCATGGTCAGGCGCTGTGGTTCATGCCTGTAATCCCAGCACTTTGGGAGGCTGAGGTGGGTGGATCACCTGAGGTCAGGAGTTCAAGATCAGCCTGGCCAACATGGCAAAAACCCATCTCTACTAAAAATACAAAAAGTAGCCGGGCATGGTGGTGTGTGCCTTTAATTCCAGCTACTGGGGAGGGTGAGGCAGGAGAATTGCTTGAACCCGGGAGGCGGAGGTTGCAGTGATTCAAGATGACACCACTGCACTCCAGCCTGGGCAACAGAGTCAGACTCTGTCTCAAAAACAAACAAACAAACAAAAAACCATTTACTCCTGCCTTCTGAACCAATGATTCTATTTTTAAAAACATAAATCCTGCTGGACAGTGGCTCATGCCTGTAATCCCAACGGTTTGGGAGGCCAAGATGGGAGGATCGCTTGAGCCCAGGAGTTTGGGACTGGACTGGGAAACATAGGGAGACCCTGTCTCTACAAAAAAAAAAAAAAATTAATTAGCCACTCATGGTGGCAAGCACCTGTAGTCTCAGCTACTCAGTAGGCTGAGGTAGGAGGACTGCTTGAGCCCCAGAGGGAGGTCAAGGCTGCAGTGAGCCATGATCATGCCACTGCACTCCAGCCTGGGGAACAGAGACCCTGTCTCAAAAAGAAAAAAAAATAACAGGCCAGGCACAGTGGCTCACACTTGTAATCCCAGCATTTTAGGAAGTCAAGACAGAAGGATCCCTTAAGCCCAGGAGTTCAAGACCAGCCTGGGCAACACAGAAGATCCCATCTCCATAAAAGTAAAAAAATCACACACACACCGGCCGGGCGCGGTGGCTCATGCCTGTAATCCCAGCACTTTGGGAGGCCGAGACGGGTGGATCACGAGGTCAGGAGATCGAGACCATCCTGGCTAACACGGTGAAACCCCGTCTCTACTAAAAAATACAAAAAACTAGCTGGGCGAGGTGGCGGGCGCCTGTAGTCCCAGCTACTTGGGAGGCTGAGGCAGGAGAATGGCGTGAACCTGGGAGGCGGAGCTTGCAGTGAGCTAAGATCCGGCCGCTGTACTCCAGCCTGGGCCACAGAGCGAGACTCCGCCTCAAAAAAAAAAAAAAAAAAAATCACACACACACCAAAAAAAGAAATCCAGTGGAAATAACCCTAAATCTAACAACTCTTAAAACCTTTTTTGTGGTGTTATTTACCTCAAGGGGAAGAAAAACTTTAATTTCAAACCGAAGGAGAATTCATTACATTGTGGTTCATCTGAATCTGCAATATTGCATGGCCATTGAAAAATGCATCGAACAACACAGGAATGATCTTCTATCCGTCAGCGGGAAGGAGTGACCAGGAGTTGCACATAGAGAATCCTCACCACCGTTGGAAATCATCTGACAATCCACCACAAATAACCAGGGAGCGAGTGGGCAATCAGGGGGGGCCTGGCTGTCCTCAGGGGACACCTCTCCAGTGGAGACATGGCAAGTGGCATCGTGGCAGTGCTGGAGGGACCAGGACGATCCCGAGGGAAATGAGATGGGGCATTCGGGAGGGGAGGCAGAGGACTGCTGCTCCCACTGGCCCTTCGCGTCACTCACTTAGAAACCTGGGTGAGAAGACCTGGAGGCCTTGCTGCCCAGCTGACGGGGACAGATGAGCACTCCTGTGATGGTGGAACGATGCCGGCGCAGCGCCCTCCTCCTCCATTAGTGGGGTGTAGGGGCCTTTCGGAGAGTGTTTGACCGTCTCTATTTCAACATTTCAAATGCACACAGCCTTTGACCCGAGGACCCCCGTCTGGGATATCCTACACAAAGAGACAGGGTGCCTGCACAGGCCACCCACAGCAGCAGCGTCTGTGGTCACAGAGAACTGGGAACAGTGCTGCCTGCCTGGGGCCCCCACAGGAGGAGCCCAGTGTTGAAGTGTGCCAGGGAGAGCTGCAGATGAGGACTGATGGGGAATGCCAGTGAAAATGGATGGTTAAGGGACAAAAGTCAAGTTGCGGAACAGCACAATCCTGTGTAGGTGGACCAAAAATATACACAGACAAACACACAGATCTCCATCAAAGTTCCAGAGAAAACCCAAGAAAACGTTGACCGTGGCTGCCTTTGGGGAGGGGGGCCGGAGGCGTGGCCCTTAAACCTTGCATCCTCCATGGCGTTTGTAAGTTTACCATGAGCACGTGCTGTTGAATCCGTAAGAAAAGTGGGTTTTTACTCATCCTGTTTTGAATACAGACACTGAGGAAGTCTTGGCAACATGCAAACATTGCTGGTGGTGGTTCCCTTGTTTATAAACTTCTCCTTTTATGCAGGAGCTCAGTGCTGGTTTTCCCCACCCCAGTCCTGCTGAGGGCTGGTCCTGAATGCAGTGTCCCACAGCCCAGGTACGTTCCCAAGCACATGCTGAGGCCCAGAGCATCAAGGGTGCACCACACGCTGCCACTGAAGTGGCAGAGTTGAGGGTGGCCTTGCCCTGGCCCCTCCCCACTGCCAGCCTGGGCCACACTGAGCCTGCCCCACACCCTGTGGCAGGGGTTCCAAGGCCCTCTGTGGAAGGCCTGCTGGCCTCAGGTTGAGGCTCCTCCCAAGACCTGTGTCCAGCAAGACCTGGGTTTGCCAAGGTGACCCAACGGCAGGGGCACTAGCCATGGTCATGGAGACCCTGCCCTGACTCAGCCCCTGACAAGGGTCCCTCTGGGGACTGCACAGCCTGGGCAAGGGTCGAGGGTCTGCCCCTCTCCTGTCCAGCCCTGAGGTCCGGCCCAGGGTGATTCCTTCTTGGGGAGGAGGATGGCAACACAGCCCGGCAGGCAGCCTGTGGTGGTCTGCACACACCAAACAGATTGGGCCCTTTTGCAGCCACAGTGCCTGGGCCTCAAAAGTGCTGGGAACGGGACCCTGCACGTGGCCCAGTGCCATAAGCGCAGGTCTGCCCAGCTAACGCCCTGTGGTGAGCGTGGGGCTCAGTGGCTGCTGAGGGAGATGCAGAACCTGGGGCCTCGCACAGCATGGCCCCCAGGCACCGGGTTCCCCAACCACACTGTCCCCGTGCCTCCTGGTGAGGTGCTCTCACCCCTCCTGGTGAGGTGCTCTCCCCCCAGCTCCCTGCGAGGAGCCCCTGCCTGTTGCCGGAGACTGAAGGTGTGGGGATGCTGCCATGGATTCCCCTCTTTCCTTCCAGACACGCTCGCTCTCAGGCTTGTCCACGGAGCTCCGAGCAGGGCCTGGGGCCTGGTTGCGGAGAGCACCTCCTGCACGCTGCGCCTGCTCAGAGTGCACATCTGAGGGTGGTGGCCGGCGTTTGGGAAGGACTCAGGGAGCGACCAGCCCAGCGCAGGTGCTGGAGTGCCCCCTGGTGAGTGGCAGAGCTGGCCTCCTGGGCATGGCTCGCGCTTGCAGACAGCAGCGTTCACAGGCACTGGCGAGGCTGCCTGCTCCATCGTCCAGGACCAGGCAGGCTGACCACGTCCCTTCCCGGCCCAGCCAGGTGGGAAGCTGAGGTTGGCCGTGGGAGTCCCAGGAAATGCTGTGTCCTCTGTCCTCTGCCCATCATCCCAATGAAGAGTCAAGGGCACAACTGTCAGCCACACCCCAAATCACACGCAGGAACGGGGAATGTTTTCCCAAAACTTTTAGAATAAAGCCTACTACTTTGCAGAAAGTGATCAAACCCTATATATATTTTTTTCAATAAAAAGCCACAGAAGGTTGGAGTCAATACTATGTGGTGAGTGGATCATGGCCCCACACTCCCACCCCCCAGGGACAGGTGCCCACTCGTCCCCACCCGCTCCCCTGGCCCGCTCTGGGGCCTCCCTGGGGTGGGACCTTCCTACCACGGGGCTGGCCTAGCTAGCTCTGGCCGGGGATGTGAGTGGATGGGACACAGCACCCATGGGACTCGTGTGGCTGGTCTGACACCCCCCTCGCCCCTGACCCAGGAGGAGAAGAGACGCACGCAGCAGAGCAAACTGCCAGCCAGGCCCAGCCTGGAAGAGCTGCCTGGGGCCCTGGAGGCCCACAAGCCTGCACGCCACCTGCTCTACCCCTACGGCAGCACCTCCATGACTGCAGCTGACCACGCCCACTTCACCGGAGTGGGCCTGGAGGGGAAGGGCCTCACCTGAGGGCAACAGCAGAACCCACCACCTGGGCTTGCTTTACTCAGACCTGAGGGTGTGAAAGGTGCCCGTGACCTCCCGCATCAGGGAGCTGCCCACCCCCTTCAACGCCCGGGGAGCAGATACCCGACGACCCCCCATCCACCAGGCTGGACCCTTGGGCCATGTGAGCCAGGTGGTGCCTCACCTCCACTCCCGGGGGAGCCGGCCTCGGGGTAGGCGGGGGCCCTGGGTGGGAGCAGGTCGTGGCCACTGCCCTCCTGGCAGCTCTGGCTGAGCAGCCGCCGCAGCATCTGATTCTCCTTCAGGAGGCGCACCTGCTTCTTCAGGTCTGCGTTCTCGCTCAGAAGCCGGCTCATCAGCTCGCCGCCCTCAGCCATGGCGGGCGCGTCCCTTCTCGTCCCTCACGGCTCCTGCAGCCCCATGGAGGTGGGAGCCCAGAGCCCACAGGCACCACAGAAACAGCCCGGGCATGGAGTTCCGTAGCCACCACCGCCTTCTGCGCCTTGTGATGTCACTGCCCTAGTGATGAGGTGCCCGGCACCCCCGCCTGACCCGGCGATGGCTCGTGGCCCCGTTGAGGCCGTGAAGCTGGAGGCCCGTGGTGTGCACAGGCAGCCACTCCCACACCACGACCGGGGCCCGAGAATGCCAAGGACATGAGGCAGGTACGGGATGTCGGGACTGCACTCCAAGGGGGCGTCCAAGCCTCTCCCCAGTGAGCGGCCCAGCGAGGGTTGGGCGTCCACCCTGTGTGGAGTCCTCAGGCTGGGTGGGGACGCTGCCTTCACCTGAGTAACACGTGGGCTGCACTTCCCACAGGACCTGCCCAGGACACAGGGATCCCAGTGCAGTTTCCTGTGGGCCCCGGCACCCAGGGCGGCATCTGGTGTGCATCAGGGCCCATCCTTGGCACCCACATTTGAGAAAGGAGGGGCTGGTGAGGGCAGCTGGAGGAGACCAGTCTGGGGAGGAGACCAGCCTGGCAGGGGAGACCAGCCTGTGGTGGGGACCAGCCTGGTGGAGGGGACCAGCCTGGCGGGGAGACCAGCCTGTGGAGGAGACCAGCCTGGCAGGGGAAACCAGTCTTGGAGGGAGACCAGCCTTGAGGGGAGACCAGTCTGGCAGGGGAGACCAGCCTGCGGGGAGACCAGGCTTGGGGTGAGACCAGCCTGGGGAGGAGACCAGCCTGTGGGGCAGACCAGCCTGGGGAGGAGACCAGCCTGGGGAGGAGACCAGCCTCGGGGGGGAGACCAGCCTGGAGGGGAGACCAGCCTGGGGGGAGACCAGCCTCGGGGGGGAGACCAGCCTGGAGGGGAGACCAGCCTTGTGGGGAGACCAGCCTGGGGAGGAGACCAGCCTGTGGGGCAGACCAGCCTGGGGAGGAGACCAGCCTGGGGAGGAGACCAGCCTGGGGAGGAGACCAGCCTGGGGGGAGACCAGCCTGGGGGGAGACCAGCCTGGGGAGGAGACCAGTCTTGGGGGGAGACCAGCCTGGGGGGAGACCAGCCTGGGGGGAGACCAGTCTTGTGGGGAGGAGACCGGCCTGGAGGGGGAGACTGGCCTGGGGAGGAGACCGGCCTGGCAGGGAGACCACCCTGGGGAGGAGACCAGCCTGGGGAAGCCCCACCATGGGCCCCACGATTGGCCCCACATGCTGAGGGGCGCTGGGTGGCCCTGAGGGCTGGGCTGGAGGCCACCTGCTGACCTCACTCCCCAATGAGAAGGGTCCAGCAGTGCCTGTCCACCCCTCGGACCACGAGCGCCCATGTCTAAGACACCAATTGTTCCTGACTGCACTGCTCCTGCCTGCACCTAACTGAGGACGGCCCCAACCCATGGCCACGGCCTCTCGGGCCGTCACGCAGGGCTGTGGCTCACAGGGTCCTGCTAGAGTAGGCGCTGTCCTCGGTCAGTGTGACCAGCTTGAAACCCACCCTGACTCCCCGCTTCTCCAATTACTTGGGGAAGTAAATCACCTCAGTGTTGTTTCTTGGCTCCGAGAGTCTTGTTTTATCAGCAGCCGGGATGTAACAGAAGGGTCATCTCATCCTCGTGGGAAGGGACGTAGTCCAGAAAACACAACCCACTGGGCCGGCCACACCTCCAGCCCTGTGACGGGCACCCACCACCACCAACCCAGTGGGCCGGCCACACCTCCAGCCCTGTGACGGGCACCCACCACCACCAACCCAGTGGGCCGGCCACACCTCCAGCCCTGTGACGGGCACCCACCACCACCAACCCAGTGGGCCGGCCACACCTCCAGCCCTGTGACGGGCACTCAGGACCACCAACAACCCAGTGGGCCAGCCACACCTCCAGCCCTGTGACGGGCACCCACCACCACCAACCCAGTGGGCCGGCCACACCTCCAGCCCTGTGACGGGCACCCACTACCACCAACCCAGTGGGCCGGCCACACCTCCAGCCCTGTGACGGGCACCCACCAACAACCCAGTGGGCCAGCCACACCTCCAGCCCTGTGACGGGCACCCACCACCACCAACCCAGTGGGCCGGCCACACCTCCAGCCCTGTGACGGGCACCCACCACCAACCCAGTGGGCCGGCCACACCTCCAGCCCTGTGACGGGCACCCACCACCAACCCAGTGGGCCGGCCACACCTCCAGCCCTGTGACGGGCACCCACCACCACCAACCCAGTGGGCCGGCCACACCTCCAGCCCTGTGACGGGCACCCACCACCACCAACCCAGTGGGCCGGCCACACCTCCAGCCCTGTGACGGGCACCCACCACCACCAACCCAGTGGGCCGGCCACACCTCCAGCCCTGTGACGGGCACCCACCACCAACCCAGTGGGCTGGCCACACCTCCAGCCCTGTGATGGGCACTCAGGACCACCAACAACCCAGTGGGCCAGCCACACCTCCAGCCCTGTGACGGGCACTCAGGACCACCAAGGGCACTCACGTGCAGACGTCCCCAAGGAGACCACCACCTTCATTCAGCCCGGGCGGCCACATTAGGGCAACGTTGCTTCCAGGAGAGAGTCTCGAGTCAGGCTTTGTGGAGAATGGAGGTTGCCATACCCCAAGCGTTCCTGACACAACCCAACCCGTCTGGCTGCACCACAGGGCTCACACCTCAGATCAAGACAACGGGGGCCCAGACACAGCCCACTGACGAGGGCATGCCCCTGCATGTCCAGGATGCAGGGCAGAGAGAGAAGTCAGGGGTGAGTCACAGATGCGCCCCCCACTCTGAGCCCGACGGGGCCCTGAATGGCTTTTCCTGCCCTGGCTCCTCCCATCATATTTTAAATGCCATCTTCTTCCCGCTCCAAGGAAGCCTTCTCCTGACATCACGTACTCTCCAGCCACGGACCTATCAACACTCTGACAGTTTTCTGATCTTGACACATTATCCTTTTAATATAGCACTGGATTCAATTTATTAATATCTTAAGTATTTTTATGCTCACAGGGGAAATCAATCTGAATCTCCTTTTCTTGTGATGTCTTGGTCTGGCTTTGGAACACTGGCCTTTTAAAATCAGCCGCAGGGGTTCCATGCCATTTTCTGGGTGTTCCTCCTTTTTTTTTTTTTTTTTTTTTTTTTTGAGACAGAGTCTCGCTCTGTCGCCCAGGCTGGAGTGCAGTGGCCGGATCTCAGCTCACTGCAAGCTCCGCCTCCCAGGTTTACGCCATTCTCCTGCCTCAGCCTCCCGAGTAGCTGGGACTACAGGTGCCGCCACCTCGCCTGGCTAGTTTTTTTTGTTTTTTGTTTTTTGTTTTTTTTTTTTTTGTATTTTTTAGTAGAGACGGGGTTTCATCATGTTAGCCAGGATGGTCTTGATCTCCTGACCTCGTGATCCGCCCGTCTCGGCCTCCCAAAGTGCTGGGATTACAGGCTTGAGCCAACGCACCCGGCCGGGTGTTCCTTCTTAAACGTCAGAATTCACCTGTGAAGCTACCTAGAACTAGATTTCTTCTGGGAAGGTTTTAAATTTCTAAATCAATTTATTAAAAGACACAACGCTACTGACAGTTTCTATTTTTCCCTCATGTGCGTTTTGCGGACAATTGTGGCTGTCAGGTAGTTTGTCCGTTTCCTGTGGTTGTGGAGCCCGGGCATCAAGCTTTACACCCCACAAATTCTAATGTCATGTTTTTATTCTCCTTCAACTTGAAATATTCTCTGGTTTCCTTTGTGCTTTTGTCTTTTTCAAGACTGTTTTTAGAGGAGTTTTAGGTTCTCAGCAACATTGAGAGGAAGGTACAGAGATTTCCCCACTCTCTGCCCCAACAAATGCACAGCCTCCCCTATTATCAACGTCCTGCACCAAAGTGGTACCTTTTTGAGACAAGGTCTCGCTCTGCTGCCCAGGCTGAAGGGCAAGTGGCATGATCACGGCTCACTGCAGCCTCAAATTCCTGGGCTCAAGAGATCCTCCTGCCTCAGCCTCCCAAGCAGCTGGGCCTACAAGTGCGCATACCCACACTCAGAATTTGTCACGGCTGATGAACCTACATGGACACATCACCACCACCCAAAGCCCACAGTTTACAGTGGGGCTCACTCTCGAGGCTGCACATTCTCTGGCTTTGGACAAATGTATGATGACCTTATCCACCGCTGGTGTCAGGCCGGAGCAGTTTCATTGCCCTAAAAATCCTCTGTTCACCCCTCCCCCGGCCCTGACCTCCAGCAACCGCTGACTTTTTACTGTTTCCACAGTTTTACCTTCGAGAGTGTGATCTAGTTGGAATCACAGTATGCAGCCTTTTCAAACTGCCTTTTCCACTTACTAATACGCACTTAAGGGTCCTCCGTGTCTCTTCATGGCTTGATAGCTCATTTCCTCTTAGTGCTGAGTAATATTCCACGGTCTGGCTGCACCGAAGTCTACTCACTCATTCACCTACGGAAGCACATTTTGGTTGCTTTCACATTTGGGTAGCTATGAATAAACAGCTATCAGCCTCTGTGTGCAGGTGCTTGTGTGGACTCCTTTGGGTAAACACCAAGCAGTGCAATTGCTGGATAGATAGCGAGAGTATGTTTAGTTTTGTCAGAAACCACCAAGCTGTCTTCCACAGCAGCTGTGCCTATTCAAGTTATCAAAAGAGAAGGAAAAAAAAGAAATTAAAAAAAATAATAATAAACAGTGGCTTCACCATTTTGCATTCCCGCCAACGGTGAGTTCCTGTTACTCCACGTCCTCACCAGCACTTGGTGGTGGCAGTGTTCTGGATTGTGGCCACTCCAATAGGTATATTGGTCGTTTTAAGTTGCATTCCCCTGATGACATATGATGTGGAACATCTGTTCATATGCTTATTTAACAACTGGGTATCTTCTTTGGTATGGCGTCTGTTAAGGTCTCTGGCCCATTTTTTCACCAGGTTGTTTTATTGTTGGGTTTGAAGAGCTCTTTTGGATACTGATCCTTTGTGTTTTTCAAATATATTCTCTCAGTCTCTGACTTGTCTTTTCATTTTCTTGACATTCTTTGCAGAACAGAAACTTTAATTAATGTATTTTATTGAGACAGGGTCTCACTCTGTCACGTAAGTTAGAGTACAGCGGCTTACAGCGGCGTAATCACAGTTCACTGCAGCCTCAACCTCCCAGGCTCAAGCAATCCTCCCACCTCAGTGTTCCAAGCAGCTGGGACAACAGGCATGCACCACCACACCTGCCTCATCTTTTGATTGTTTTGTACAGATGGGGTTTCACTATGGTACCCAGGCTGGTCTCCAACTCCTGGGTCCAAGTGACCCTCCCACCTTGGCCCCTCAAAGTGCTGGAATTACAGGCGCGAGCCAAAAATGTATCATGTTAGTGAAGCCCAACCTATCGATGTTTTCTTTAGTGGATCATGCCTTTGGTGTCATATCTAGAGTCACTGCCAAACCCAAGGTCACTTAGATTTCCTCCTACGTGATGTTCTAGGGGTTTTATAGTTTTATGTTTTACATTTAGGTCTCTGATTCATCTTGAGTGTGTCTAGATGTGAAGGGTATGTCAAGGTTCATTTTTTTTTTTTTTTACAAATGAAGTTTGGTTGTTTCAGCATCATTTGTTGAAGACTGTCCTTTCTCCATCGAACTGCCTTTGCTCCTTTGCCACTGACTTTCAATTTAGTTTGACTCCACTGTGGTAGGGAAGGATGCTCTGTATGACTTCCATCCTTGCTGACATCCTGACACTCAGCTCCTGAGCCAGCTATGGTCTAGCTTAGCACATGGGCCCCGAGCTCTTGAAAAGCTGTGTGCTTCACCACTGTTAGGTGAGGTATCCTCTAAAGACCACTCGCTTGTGTTGGTTGATGTTCAAATCTCTATCCTTATAGATCTCATGTTTATCAGTTGCTAAGACAAGTACGAAAAGCTCCCATTAAAATTGTGTTTTCATCTCATTCTCTTCAATTCTGCCATTTCGCTTCATGTATTTTGAAGCTGTTAGTGCATATACATTTAGGGTTGTTATGTCTTGATAAATTGATCTTATCATTATTGTCTCTTTACTTATTTCTGGTACCATTCCTTGTCCTACGGTCTATGTTGATATTAAAAACATCAAGAGTCTGAAACTTTACATCATAGCAAACAAAGAAAACCTAATATGACGCCAGGGAAAAGATTTCAGAATGTTCAAAATCTATTCCTGATAAAAATCATCTGAATTCAAAAATTTTTTGTGAGTTACTCAGGATAGTGAACTTGATTTTTAATCACACTGAGGCAAATATCCCCCTCAGACAGAGGCTGCACAGGTGCAGCTGCCATCTCCTCTTGGTGGTCTCCTTTGTCAAGAGCACGTCAGGGTGATGAGCCATCGGGGACAGTCACCCTCACAGCACCCAGAGAAGCCGACGGGGAAGGAACAGACTCCTCTGCATCGTGATCCAATTGTGAACAAAAAGTCCTCTTCGTGGAATAGGAAAAATACACGCCCTCTGAACAACGGGAAGACTGAGGAAAGATACACGCCCTCTAACAACGGGAAGACTGAGGGCAGGGATACTGTCACTGAAGTCCTGCATGTGTAACACACCGAAGAGGGCAGCGGATAGCTGTGTCCTGTGACTTGAAGGCCACTGTGAAGGAAAACAACGCAGTGAAAGAAAGTTCCTCCTATGTGGACATTGTATCACGTTTATTTATCTTCCTGGATATGCTTATGGCCTTTAAAAGATATTAAAATAGGCTATGCTATTATTTCTTAAAATATCTATTTTCCCTCAGGTAACTGGAGATGCAGCCTGCTACTCCTCATGTCGCTCCTGTTCCCTGAACCAGGCTGGGCCTCCAACTCGCCCCACAGGCAGGTGAGGCACGACAGCCAGAAACCCCAGATCTGCAGTTCTCCCCAGGATGAAATGAAACACAGTGTGACAGGCTTCTGAAAAGGGAATCAATGTCTGTTTATTAAGGTAGTTGCTCATAAAAGTGACTTTCAATAACATTTTCACTATGAAAATGGATTTACATTTAATTTCTGGAAAACTGTTTTGTACAATGATCTGACCATGGCTAGGAGTCCCAGGGACAGCAGCCTCTGCTCAGGGCAGACTCTGTGATTCACTCTCTGTCCTGCTGCTGCCCCACGTGAGGCAGAACACGTGGGCTGAGGAAAAAAACAGCATGTGCAAACCTGACAGATGTCAAGGGTCCCACCACAGTTCCTTCAGCGAAAATAAACCCCAGTTTTAAGATGTGCAGAGAAGTGTTGACACTCAACAGGCAGCTGACCAGGCCCTGCAGGGCTCTGAGCAGGCAGGTGAGTCCCAAGGAGAGTCAGTGACAGCAGGTGGGGCAAGGGAGCTGGACAGGAGACCCCAGAGGGTGCGGCGCCTGGGTGAGAGCCCTGCACCCTGCACCAAGGCAGACGGGTGGCCCTGAAGAACTCTGGGCGGGAAATGACAGGTTCCGAAGGTGTCCAGACGCAGACCTCCACTGCCCGAGGGAGGGCAATTAGCCAGGGGGAGAGGCCAGGGGCTGTCAGCTCCCAGGAGGCAGCAGGGAGGAGAGGAAGAGCAGTTAAGGAGGCGTAGGGTGTGCTTTGGGCAAGGCAGCAGGGGTAACAAAGCTCTCAGTGACTCCTCCCAATAGCCAGGGGAGAAGAGTGACAGTCTCGGGTGGTCCTGAGCATGTGAGCTGCTCATCCACATCACTCAAAGGCAAAGCCAGGACCTGAACTTCCCATCCCAAGCCCTACATCCATGCAAGCCAGACCAGACTGGGTCAGAGGCTAGAAGGGAGCTCACAGGATTACCTGGGGAAGCCTCGACCCAAAACCTGGCCCTCGCTCCAGCCCAGAGCACCTGCCTGGGCGTGAGACTGGCAGCAGCTGTAGGGGTGCCCTGGACATATGCCGGGCTCCCAGGGTGCTATACCTGCCCAGTCAGCCCAGGGAGTGGTGATGGGCTGGGCGCTGGCTGTCCCTGTATATAGCAGTGCCTCGCGGCAGTGACCACGACTGCTGCCTGCCCCTCACCCCTGGTTACCCTCGGCCTCCCCTGTGCATTTCTGTGACCATAAGACTACTGTAAGCCCTGTGGGCACCTCACAAACCACATTCCACACAGGTGGGCTCACGTCCCAGGGGCATGGGACTCCCTGCTGCACAGACTTGGGACATTCCATGACAGCCCCCGCATACGCAGGTGAGCTCATGACTCGGATGTGGGGCTCCATGACACCCCCCCCCATATACAGGCGAGCTCAGGACCCAGGGGCATGAGGCTCCCTGCCGCACAGCCTCAGGATGCTCCATGAGCACCTCACACTGGGCTGTTCACGGACGCACACCGTACATGCCATTGTCACAGGGCTGCCCTCGTGTCCCTCAGCCCAGCAGACAGAAGGTGCAGGAAAGCAGGCTGCCCAGGGCCGACCCCAGCCCAAAGCCCACTCGACACTCAGGAATCGCACAGGCGCAGCTGCTCCTCTCCCAGGAACTCAGCGATTGGTCGGAAAAAACCCTCCTAGCCTCACTGCTTCGAGGAGGCCCTGCCCAGAGGTGGCAAAGGCGCTGTGCCCCCTTCCTCACCCAAGCCCAACAAGCTACTCTCAGAAATGAACCTACAGTGAAAATTAAGAGTCTAAGCCACCCACCCTGTCCCCATCCCTGCCTCCAGCCTGGTCCCCAGGATTCACATCCATGAGGCAGAGGTGGAGGGGCTGGAGCCCGAGACAGGCTTATGGGAGGGCTCCCCTACCCGGCCAGGACCCCGTGGCCTCAGTGGAACACACAGAGGGCACCCAGCAGGCAGGCATGTTCTCAGGGGTGGCCAGCAAGGGCTCTCTCAGGGTACAGCTGGGAGAAGCGCCCGAGGGTCCAGATGGGGAAGACATTCCTGTAGCTCGTGTAGGAGATGGCACAGGACTTGTTGAAGACCCCGGAGATGTTTTCCTAAAAGAACACGGAGAAATAAACACAAAGGCTCACCAGTCAGCTGAGGGCTGGTCCCTGAACTGTAGCCCTGGCTGTTGGCTTGGCTGACTTGCGGGTGAGTCAGCCTGGAAAGGGCTAATTAAGCGCACAGGAAAGCAGGTCGTCCATCCCGCACCAGTCACGGCACCGTCAGTCCAGCTCAGACTCCCCACCCTGCAGCAAACCCTGAGCCGGGGTCACCAGCCCCTCACGACCACATCAGCTTCCACCAACTCAGCCTCATCCCAGGGGAGGGCGGTCGGCCTCACGTGACCTCATCCCGGGGGAGGGCGGTCGGCCTCACGTGACCTCACCCCGGGGGAGGGCGGTCGGCCTCACGTGACCTCACCCCGGGGGAGGGCGGTCGGCCTCACGTGACCTCACCCCGGGGGAGGGCGGTCGGCCTCACGTGACCTCACCCCGGGGGAGGGCGGTCGGCCTCACATGACCTCATGACGCCCACACCACAGGGACTTCCAGCTTAGTGAGGGGCCACTGGGTCGTCTGGAGCCGGAGGGTCTGTCCTGGAGCAAAAGGGCTTCCCGCCCACTGGCTTCTCCCATCCAGCTCCTCCCCCAGCCAGAGCATCACTTGAAAAAGCAGCAAGATCTGGACTTTAGGACCCAACCACCTGCCACAGACCCGCCACCAACTCTGGCATTCACTGGCAGAGCTGACGCCTCCCAAGTGTCCAAAATACCCCAAAAAGGACACAGAGCAGGGGGACGTGGAAACAGCCGCACACACTGGAGGTCGGTGCTGGGCCTCGTGCGCTCAGGTCCCTGGCGGCGTACCTGCGGCCAGTCGCCATTGGGGAGCTGTTTCTCAAGCAGACACCGGATTCCTCTCTCCTGTGCCTCGATGTCAGGATGCCTGGAGGAAGAGGAGGCTGAAACACACCCATTGTGCATGCCCTCCAAGCATCATCCTCACCCTCACACAGCCGAGCATAAGGGCAAACCCTGGAATGCTGCAGTGAGCACGGATGCATCTAAATTGACGCCCACAGGCCCTGCCAGGTGCAATCAACACCTCGGGCTCTTGCCACACCTTCTTCCTAGGCGCCCTGAGAAGCGGAGCCACAGCGATGACAGGCTGGGGACACAGGCCTCCTCAGGCCTGCCCTGGTGTTCCCCCCAGAAGAGGAGGCCAAGCCTTGTTCCCACCTGGGCCACTGGTCCTCATAGGCTTCTGGAGACCCACAAGAGCTCACGCTTGCTTGCTTGCCATGATGAGACACCAAGAAGGATCCAGGGCTCAGTGGGCCCAGCTCAACTGTGGGTCCGTGACTGTCCTGCCCTCAGGGGTCCCCCAGACCCCGCAGCTCCTGCTCAAGCTGACCTACCCTAGCTTTCAGGGCTTTAGGAAGATTCCCCAAATGATCAAACCTAATAGGGCAGCACAGACGGGACGCTGCGGGTGCATCTGTATGTGTGTGTGCACAGGTACCTGTGCATGCGTATGTAAGTGTGTGCATACATACATGTCTGTGTGTGACCCAGATGGGATATTGCGGGTGCATCTGTATGTGTATACGCAGGTGCCTGTGCATGCGTACGTGTGTGCATAGACCTGTGTGTGCATCTGTCTCCATGTACCTATGTCTGTGTGTGGCACAGATGGGATGCTGTGGGCGCATCTGTATGTGTTTACACAGGTGCCTGTGCATGCGTATGTACGTGTATGCATAGACCTGTGTGTATGGCATCTGTCTCCATGTACCTATGTCTGTGTGTGGCACAGGTGGGATACTGTGGGTGCATCTGTGTGTGTGTGGACACAGGTGCCTGTGTGTGCATGCATACGTGTGTATACAGACCTGTATGTGCATCTGTTTCCATGTACCTATGTCTGTGCATGGCACAGACAGGATGCTGTAGGCACATCTGTACGCGTGTGTACACAGGTGCCTGTGCATGCATACGTGTGTACAGAGACCTGTGTGTGCATCTGTCTCCACATATGTCTGTGTGTGCACATCAGTGTGTGCAGGTGCATGCCTGCATGCATGTGCGTGTGTGTGCACCTGGCACATATGTGGCTCAGCACCAGCTGTGGACACAGGAGGGCCACAGAGAGCAGCTGCTGTGACCGTCATCACTACCATACCAGGAGGCAGCACTCTCATCGCAGCCCACCTCGCTGTTTCCATGGGTCCCTGATGCCCTTGCTCTTCCACCGACACTGCTAATGGTGGGTGGTTCACTTCTAAGAGGCGAGCCTCTCTGCAGGGCCCCACTTGGTGAGAGCAGCCCACGTCCTTGCCCCAGGAACCGGGCGCATGGCTCTTGTAGGTGTCTGTTCCCAGAGTGGCAGCTGAACAGCCCGTGGCCCACAGGCCTCCCCGCCTGTCTACATTCACTCAGCCCAGGCCACCTGCTCACAGCTGAGTGTCCCTCCTCCACCCAAACCCAAGGCTCAGGGACGGGTCCCGTCGTCCCTACCGAACGGCCATCAGCCCCATCAGGGCCCAACATGTGTTGTGGATCTGGGACTGGGCGCTCTGCACATAACGCCGCTCCTCACAGGACTCAAAATCCTCCCCCCAGCCTCCGTCTGCCATCTGCCGGGACAGGAGGAAGTCACAGGCCCGGGAGACCTCTGCACAGGCAGTCCTGCAAAGACCAGAGACAGGAGACACATCACACCAAGGAAGGTCCCAGACCCCTGGCTTCTCACCCTAGCAGGCTGCCTTAGGGTGTGGGGAGGAGCCGCCCTACCTAAGGGCCATAGGCCACTACTGAAACCCCTGAGCTTGACTTCTGCACATGTGAACTGGGAACAGATGCTCCTGCCTCCCCGAGTCGCTGGGAGGACAAAGGGACATGCCAGTGCTGCGGGTGGCCTCACAGGTGCGTCAGGCTCAGCGAAGTCTGCAGTGCTTGGGAGCAGCGTCTCACAAGCTGCCCAGCCAAGCACGGTGCTCCACACCCCTAAACATCCACATGGCAAAGAGTGGGGCAGCTGGAGACAGCGCTGGGACCCAGCCAAGTATGGTGCTCCTCACCCCTAAACATCTATGCGGCAAAGAGTGGGACAGTTGGAGACCGGGCTGGGAGAGAGTGGGGCGGCTGGAGACCGGGCTGGGAGAGAGTGGGGCGGCTGGAGACCGGGCTGGGAGAGAGTGGGGCGGCTGGAGACCGGGCTGGGAGAGAGTGGGGCGGCTGGAGACCGGGCTGGGAGAGAGTGGGGCGGCTGGAGACCGGGCTGGGAGAGAGTGGGGCGGCTGGAGACCGGGCTGGGAGAGAGTGGGGCGGCTGGAGACCGGGCTGGGAGAGAGTGGGGCGGCTGGAGACCGGGCTGGGAGAGAGTGGGGCGGCTGGAGACCGGGCTGGGAGAGAGTGGGGCGGCTGGAGACCGGGCTGGGAGAGAGTGGGGCGGCTGGAGACCGGGCTGGGAGAGAGTGGGGCGGCTGGAGACCGGGCTGGGAGAGAGTGGGGCGGCTGGAGACCGGGCTGGGAGAGAGTGGGGCGGCTGGAGACAGGGCTGCGACCAGAGGTCTCCTGCCTTCTAACCCAGTCCAGCGGGGCCCTGGACCCTAATCCTCCTACTCAGGGTTGGAAGGCATCTGTGTGCCTGGAAGGGCCAGAGGCCAGAAGCGTCCCTCCGGCATACATGTCAGGAAACTCTGGAGCGCTGTGGGACCAGGGAAACACCCTCATTTCAACAGGGGATCTTATCTCACTGTTTAAAAATATTAAAAACAGGCCAGGCACAGTGGCTCATGCCTGTAACCCCAGCACTTTGGAAGGCCGAGGTAAGAAGACCGCTTGAGCCCAGACCAGTGTGAGCAACACGGCAAGACCCCATCTCTACATAAAAGTTTTAAACGATTAGCCTGGGGTGGTGGCAGGCGCCTGTGGTCCCAGCTACTCAGGAGGATCGCTTGAGCCCAGGAGCTCGAGACTGCAGTGAGCCAGGATCATGCCACTAACTGCATGTCAGCCCAGTTGACAGAGAGAGACTCCATCTCAAAAAACAAATGAACAAAAACACCCCTAAAATCAAATGTCAAAGCAAAAAACACTCATGACAGCGTTGGGTTGAGAACCCCCGCCCACCAGAGGACAGGCATGCACTCACCCGTCTCGGTAGGTCTGCCCCATGCAGGCGAAGGCCTCCAGGCCAAACCAGGTGCCGTAGGTGAAGCAAACCCCCCAGGAGCTAGAGGGAAACAGGGACAGCCTCAGCCCTTCCATCCTGTTCACAGCCGGGGTGTGAAACAACAGGCATTCTGCAACAATTACCCATGCCCCAGCCAGCCCACCAACTCCAGTGCCTCAGGCATTAAGGCCATGGAAGACAGCAGCTCTGTCTGCTGGACCCACCAGCCAGCCAGATACCTAAGAGCAAGCAGAAGGGGTGGAGGGGAACAGCCACGCTCAGCCCACAGCGTGCTCCCAGCAGCCTGGCTGTGCCCAGCAACGTACTGAGCAACTTTCACCAGGGCAAAGGCCAGGCATGCCACAAAGGAACGAGGTCCCCCAGAAGTCACAGGCTGGCAGCTCACTTCCAGAAACTTCTGGTGCAGCACCAACATACAACCCAACATTTATGAATGCAGTGTTTGACAGCAGAAACTTCCGGATTCCATGCATGTCCGCACTCACGGGCGGAGCTCACTCACCCTTCCCAGGAGCCATCGGCCCTCTGCTGCCGCCGACAGAACTCTAAGCCCTGCGTGAGGGTCTCCCTGGAACACAAGAGATTGGTCCAGTGAACATTCCGGTAAAACGGCAGTTTATCCCAATTCCACCCATTCCAGGGTCTCAAAAGAATGAGCATGGTCTCCCTTAAAAACCACATAAAAATAAACAGTTTACACAGACCTATGAGGGTTTTAAAAAGAAGCAACTACAGGACACCAGAGCGGGAAGCAGATCGGCAGAGTCTGAGAAAGGGACGTGAGGGGAAAGCAAGGCCTCGGGAAGGCCCTGCAGACACAGCTGCAGACACAGCTGCAGACACAGCTGCAGACACAGCTGCAGACACAGCTGCAAACAGGAGCAGCATCACTGAGATCCAGTGACCCAGGCAGGAGCAAACCAAAAAAAGTGAACTAAATAAAAACAGGAAAAAATCAATTAGAGAGAAAACAATAGATTTAGAAGACGAAGAAGACCCATCCTAAATCTAACTGATATTTCCAAAAAATAACCGGTTCTCTGAAAAGGCGGGAGTGCAGTGTCTACTCCAGTGTCACCCTGTGGGACGTGAGACTTGCCTCTAACCAGCAGATCTCGGCAGGGGTGATGGGTGTCGGTCCTGGGACCGAGGTCTGCGTTACTGCACATGGTGCTAGCAGACTCCCTCTACCAACTCCTCCTTCTCGCTTTTGGGAAGACGCCATCCAGAGAGGCCCCTGCAGCAAGCAGCCGTCGGCAGCCTCCAGCTGAGAAATGGGATCGTGCCGAGGACCCTGTGTGCTCAGAGGCAGATCTGTCCTCACTGGAAGCTCAGCAGAGACCCCGGTCCTGGCTAACACCCTGACTGAAGCCCGGAGAGACCCTGAGGCAGAGGACGACCCGCGAGGCCACGCCTGGACTTCTGACCAACAGAAATGGTGAAGTAATCAATGTGCACTGTTCTAAGCCACTAGGTTTGTACTAATACTTGGCAACAGGTAACAAATACAAACAGTCAAAGTACAAATTAGTAATATTAGCGATAAAAGGAATGAACTACAGATATGGTGAGAAAAGAGAAGCAAATTTTATGTATTACATTTGCAAACTTAGAGAAAAATCTACAAATTAGAAAAAATTAACTTACCAAAACTGCCTCAATCAAGAAATAGAGAACCTAAACAGTACTAAAACTACTAAAAGAATGAGTCAAAATGTAAACTTTTTCCAGAAAAAAACTCTAGGCCTAGGAATTTTATAAATGAATGCTACTAAATTATCAGATACACTCATTCTAATCTCACACAAACTCTTTCAGAGAATAGACATAGGAGGAACACTCTCTAGTTCGTTCTAGGAACCCAGAGAAATAAGATACGGAAAAGTGAAAATTTCAGGCTCACTCATGAACACAGACACAGAACTCTAAATTAAAACTGAGAAACTACAGCCGGGTGCAGTGGCTCACGCCTGTAATCCGAGCACTTTGGGAGGCCGAGGCGGGCAGATCATGAGGTCAGAAGATCGAGACCATCCTGGCTAACATGGTGAAACCCCATCTCTACTAAAAATACAGAAAATTAGCTGGGCGTGGTGGCGGGCGCCTGTAGTCCCAGCTACTCGGGAGGCTAAGACAGGAGAATGGCGTGAACTCGGGAGGCGGAGCTTGCAGTGAGCCGAGACCAAAATATGTATGAGATCTATATATGATGAAAACTATAAAATTCTGATGAAAGAAATAAAAGATCTTCCTAACTTGAGCTACAGATTCAGTGTAATCCCAACCAAAGTCTCAGCAAGTTATTTTGTAAACTATCGACAGATTCTAAAATGTATATGGAGAGGGAAAAAAATCCAGAATAGCCAAAACACTTTTGAAAGAGAACACTAAAGTGAGAACACTGACAGTAACCGACTTCAAGGCCTACTCCAGAGCTACAGGAACCAAGACAGTGTGGGATTGGTGAGAAGAATAAACAGATCAATGGAACAGAACGGAGAGCTCAGAAATAGACCCATGCAAATGCAGTCAACTGATTTTTTACAAAGAAACAAAGGCAACAAAATGGTACAAAAATAGTCTTCTTGACAGACGGTGCCAAAACGACTGGAAAATCTAAACACAAACCATAAACTCTTCACAAAAGTTAACTCAAAATGAATCATGGACCTCGACGTAAAATGCAAAACTTAAAAACTCCTAGAAGATAACACAGGAAAAAAATCTAGGTACCCTTGGGCTTGGCAGTAACTTTTTAGATACAACACCAAAAACATGATACATGAAAGAGAACATTGATAAGCTGGACTTCATTAAAATGAAAACTGGCTCTGCAAAAGATACTACTAATAGAATGAAAAGACAAGACACGGGCAGAAAATACTTGCGAAAGACATATCTGATAAAGGACTGGCGGCCAAAATATACAAAGAACTAGAACTTAACGATTAAGAAAACCCAATTTAAAAATGAGCCAAAGACAGACATGTCATTGAAAAAGGTATACAGATGGCAAATAACTATACGACAAGATTTTAACATAATGTCATTAGGGAATTGCAAATTGAAACAAGGAGATACCACTACACACCTCTTAGAAAGGCTCAAACCCAAAACACAAGAGCGAATACTGGTGAGGATGTGGAGCAATAGGAACGCTCATCATTGCTGGTGGAAACGCAAATGGTGCAGCCACTTTAGAATACAGTTTGGCAGCTTCTTACAGAACTAAACACACTCTTACCACAGGATCCAGCAATCACGCTCCTTGGCATTTACCCAGATGAGCTGAAAACTTGTGTGCATGCCAACA